TTTATTTCTAAAATTTTTAGTATTTTTTGAAGATTTTGAAATTTTTCCAGATTTGCTGTCCAGTCAATAATCTTAAATAATTTTGAAATTTAATTCATCGTTATTATCATTATAATTAAAATTTAATTTATTACTTATTCTTGTACAAACAAAACTACTTTTCTTTTTACCAAAATAATTTAATACCTTAATCCTTAACAATAAAAACCAAATGAGCTTCTTAGAGTAGCATTTAAATTACAATTCCTACAATTAACGCCTCAGTAAAGCAAGGAAGTGTACTATACACTTTTTATAATCCCCTTAACTGATGTTATTTCATAGAAATGCCGTTGTTTTCAAGGTAAATATATACATGTGATTCGGTAAGATATCTCTTTGGCTGATTGAATATTTGTAACATTTTTCCTTAATAGCAAAGAACAATTAATGACTAGAATTAAGGTCAATGTTTCCAGTTCAGGTTATTAATTGCTACTGAAGCGAACTATTTTCCCCTCGTACTTTCAGTAGCTTAATAGGATTATTCGAAACATATGAATAGCTGTAGAATGCATTTGTTATATTATAAAATTTTTAAAGTCTAGAAAGTTAATTTTTTCAAGTTTAAATAATGAATTAAAATGGGAATAAAGCAAAATAATATTAGCTGTTTCCTATCGTATCTGCAAAAGTCACTGCATCCGTAATGACTGGTGTGATTTTCACAATACTTTTCTAGGCGCAGCGGTTGATGATTTAGCAGCACTTGTAATAATATGCTAATAAACTACAGCATAATTTATATGACATAATTGTGTTATTATATATTCATAACACTAAAATAAGGATATAATAGCATGGTTATAATATCTTGTAATAATATACGTCCATTTTTAGTGATTTCCAGATCGAAATAAAGCAATAACTACTTTTCTGAGACAAACTATAGCTACACTCATTATGTACGTAAACATTCTATTACACATTCAGCATCCTGTATAATAAGTAATATTTTCTGATTCATTAATTATAATACAGTATGATGTATCAAAGAATAGGTAAAATCTATATGTGGTTAATATGGTTATTTTTTGAAGGTACACTTGTTCGATGAATTTTATAGCTGTAGATTTTAAGTAAAACATGACAATGTAAGTGTGATTCAATATGTGTTTCGTGTTAATTTTTTGATTAAGAATGGGAATTCCTTTTCAGAAAAAGACTTAAAGTTTTGATAAAATGTATATAAAGATGAATATGGCAACATTACCATTATCCAAATGACATGAATAGTTAAGCAAGTAAAAAAAAAGCAATTTATTATGAAAAAAATAGAGATGCACTTAAGCAGACGCTTTTCAGAACTGCCGTTCCGAAACTTTCTTCGGAGAACTGTCTCTTGGTTTGGTTTCTGAACAGCTTCGAAAACAGCCATGAAAGCATCCCTCTCAGCTTAAAGCCGAGGTGGACTACGGACATTCAATTATCTTACCTATTCGGTATCTTATTTTCAAGTATATAACGATTCTTTATGCATTAGCAAAATATATCACCTATCAAACGATTTTCCGACAAGGATGCACCGCGAGCTCTATTCCATGACTGGGCTGCCAAACTACAATAATTGCACAGAATTGGAGATTCCGTATAGGAATGATGGTGGTAGGGAAGTTGTCTGGCGCAGGCTTTAGAAGTCATCATGAGTCAAGCACATGATTTTGCATAGATTTTAAAATGAAATTTGAGGAAATTCAATGCTGTACTGAAACAGTACTCATTTCAGCCAAGGCGATATGTGCTAATATATATTATAAAAGTTTGAGTTAGTAAATGAAAATTTATTTTGTTAAAATTAATTACACTTTTGTGTAAAAATGTTGTATCAGTACACAGCCAAACTGTATTTGAGGTGTATGAAAAACAACAAATTCATGAGGAAGATGATAATACTCAAATTTAAGCTATTATTCACTAAAAACTGTCTGATACTAACATATTTTCACACTTTTCTTCATCTTGGGGCCATTTTAAGAATAAGTTCAAGCGATCAAAATTATTACTAGTAACTGACTTTGGTGAACTTCTGTGTTCCCATAGACACCTAAAGCTATTAAAAACTGAATCTGGTAAACGTATTTCTTCCCACGGCACCTATAATGCTTTCTTGAACTTTATTAGATTTCAAGTATTAAAATATTTCAAAGACACAAACATTACAATTGGTAAATTACCGACACAGTTGGTAAATATTATTATTGAGCTGGTACTTCCTTGTTAAAGTACGAAGTTCCTTGAAGTTGCCCTTCTTGAACGGTTCTTCTGTTTTTTGCAACCACATGCAATTAAAAAAATTTAAATTTTCTGAGTGTTTTTTACGCACTTTATCTTTTGTATAGGGCACAATTTTTTAATTCAAATTCGAGTTTTCTGAGCTACTTTGATGCATATTTTCACCTATTCTCTTTTTTTACTTTTTTTAGCCCAAAGAACGTTAGCCCAGAAGGGCTATTAATTTTGTTTTGGCATTTTGCGTTGATTCAATTTTCAAACTCTTGCCACCAAATATTACAGGCCTGTATTATATTAAAGAAATTAAATAACGAAGAATCTGCATAAATGTATGTGTGCATTGTGATAAAACAGCGGTACCTAGAGTCATCAAATTTTGAATAACGTAATCCTACACCATGGGCATCTGGAAGCTCTAATTTAGAATTTGGAGTTTGTTTTATTATCTATTTCATATTTTGTCAGACATTAAAGAATTTTTGATTAAAAAATTCAACGATTTCAAAGCGAAGAATTGCAAAATTGTACGGGAATAAAAGAACTGTGTACTCTAAAGATATGCGCATTTTAAAATTTTGCGATGTTGCCGTTGAACTAAATTTTATGGTTTAAGTGTGAAGAATATGATATTTAATAAATAAAGGTAACACACAAAACGTTAAAAAACGCCCCTTTGGGCATAATGTAAAATCTGAAAGCTTTCAGATTTTTTAATTATTTTAATAATACTTCTTTCCTTTAAAAATATGTAAATAAAAATATGTTTATAATATGTTTCTTGAGGAAAATAAATACCACCTAAAATATGTGAGCCAAGATTACAGGTATGTGTGCCTTATATATGCTAATTTGAGTACTTGGACTAAAACCATGGTCAAAGATATTAGTAGTTCCTTAAGCAAGAAATGCAAAACTCTATGTCATTTTTAAATAGTAAGACCGAAAGATTTGCAGTTCTATATTTTAATTAATTACAGCAGCATTTATATGACAATAATTGTGTTATGTATTATAATAATTAAGTTTACTTTTATTCTCCAAAATAAAGGTTTATATCTTTTCAGGTATCGTAGCGTGGGCTGTAAGTGCAGACAATGCCTTCCATGATCCTGTAATCAATAGTATGAGAAGAGTAGACGTAAGTATTTGAGATAATAACATACCTCAAAGTTGAACCATAATAAGAAAAGATAATGTTTCAGATCAAGGTGTTTGTTTGAGGTCTGATACCCCATCACTTGACCAGTATGCCTTCCAGAAACCAGTATGTTTATTTCTAATTGTATTTCACGAAAAGTTAGTTTCTAATAGTAAGCAAATTATTGCCCTGACTGCAACTGACTTACAGAAGCACAGATTTAAAAATTTTATAAACTATATGTCTTCATCTGTGGTGAGTTACACAGTTAATCATTACAAAAGAACGCATTTACCAAGCACGAACGGCAATAAAATCGATGCGGCTTCAGCAACTTCTTATTTCTTCCAAACAAACTGGTGCTAGATTGTAAGAAGAGTTGGCTCTCCACTCAACGAAGCATGAGCTGTAATTAACCCCTGCTACTTTTAACTCTCTTGCGCGTGCATTAATTTGCATGCCGTGTTGATCTGAGCGAATATATGAGATGTACGTAGGTAAGTTGAAAAATAAGTTTCCCCTGTCGACTGTGGTCAGAGTTGTGTATGAAAGTCAAAAAATAGAATGAGACATTAAAGATAGACATACCTTTATTTTCCACATAGGTACCAAGTACATTGAGACATTTGTCATATCACTTGATAAGCTTGAAAAAGCCCTCCAGGAAAAATCAGGGCTTTGCATATGGAAGAAGCGTTGAACGGTTGGTTTCACTTCAGTATTGCTTCAGTATTACAATTGACCTCGACACACAAGGAACAACGCATGGGGGTCAGCCTGGAACATCTCGTGCGTTACCATGAAGATGGCAATGACTTTCTGTTTCGGATTGTGACGGGGGTTGAAACATGGGTCCACCATTTCACGCCAGAATCGAAGGCCGCATCTATGGAGTGGAAACATACGTCATCACCTGTCCGAAAGAAGTTCAAGACAACTCCCTCTGCAGGTAAAGTGCTCCTCACAGTTTTCTGGGACGCCCAAGGAGTTTTGTTGCTGGACTTTTTGGAGGTTGGAACTATCAATGCTACGCGCTACTGTGACACCCTGTCGAAATTGAAAGAGGCGATTCGGAAAAAGCGGCCTGGCCTTCTCACTCTGGCGTTCTGCTGTTGGATGACAATGCCAGACCACATTCGGCGACGGCAACGCAAAACCATATTGCAACTCTTGGTTGGGAGCGCCTACACCATCAGCCATACAGTCCTGATTCGCCCAAGCGACTTCCATCTGTTTCCGGCTTTGAAGAAAAATCTCGGGGGAAGGCGCTTTGGAAGCAATACTGAAGTGAAACAAGCCGTTCAACGCTTCTTCCATATGCAAAGCCCTGATTTTTTCCTGGAGGGCTTTTTGAAGCTTATCAAGCGATATGACAAATGTCTCAATGTACTTGGTACCTATGTGGAAAAATAAAGGTATGTCATATCTTTAATGTCTCATTCTATTTTTTGACTTTCATACACAACTCTGACCACAGTCGATAGGGGAAACTTATTTTTCAACTTACCCTCGTATATATATCAAAAGATAGTGTTTAAAATAAGCTTACATATTAGTAAAACTTAAAAATATTGTCTCAAGTTTACCATGCAAATTAGTATTGTATCCAGTATTTAATTAAACAACAACCGTCCTAGGATTTTTAAGGACGAATATTTTACGCTAATTTTAAGACAGCGATTTTAGAACTTAAAGCGAATACAAATTCTGATCAGCTCAAAATATATCGCTGTCGTTAACAGAAACAGTGTTGTAATATTGCTTTTATTCTGCTGGGAATATTCTGCTTTTATCAGGGCCTACCAGCAGCCGAGCGGTAATGTCGCTGAACATTGTTATTTCGATAGGCGTTCCATTCCAGTTGAATGAATTTGGCTACATGGGCACTTTTATGGCTATTTTCCATACGTCACGTAGGTACAGGATAGTCATAAAAATACTTCCCCGATATAATTGCCCTATCCTTTCAACAAATCGAAATGAAATTTCAGATATTCTTATTTGAAGGTATGTGCTCAAGTTTGGGATGATTTAAAACAATAGAGCTTTCATGGTTACACTTCCAGTGAAAAAATTTTGAAATTTTCTGATGACAACACCTCTGAAAACACACACCTTTTATCCTGCACAAATCAATCAGCGCATTAAAAAAAACATAAATGGCATTCGAACGATATACGTATTAAGAAAATTTCCGGGGTAAAAATTTGCAAAGAGCATTGTAAAATGACTAACGACAACACAAAAGAGGAGAAGGGAAAACTGTTATTGGAATTACAAGTTTTCAACATGCCCAGCTTCGCAGACCATAACACACTGCATGCGGAATATTGTTCACAATAATGATGAACATAACAGGAGAAATCTGTATAACTTCACGTTTTATGGCAAATTCTGACAATTCTGACAAATCTCGTAGATTTGATGTGTATACCCTAGATTTCGGACAACCCAGAATAAGAAATCCATCGGAACGAGGTCAGATGATCACGGTGGCCACGAAGCTTACAGCACTTGCCAAACACAAATGGCGACGTGTGCATCCATACAATGCCATTAAGAACATTTCGCTGTTGCAATTCTGGAATTACGTAATTCTGCAACATTGTCGTATACCGAGTACTTGTGATGAAGCTCGTTTTCAAACCCGTGGATGTGACCTGCATTGAGCCCAGTGAGAAGAATCCATTGGTCCCTTACAATGCTATTCTTTGCAAATGTTTTAAGCCGGAAATTTTCGTCATACGTATATCGTTCCAACGCTATCTATGGTTTTTCAGTGCGCTGATCAATTGGCGCAGGAAAAATGTAGATATAGCTCTATTGAAATGTTTTTACTATACCCGTTATAGATCTATTGTTTTAAATCATCACCACCTCGAAGGCATACCTTCAAATAACAATATCTGAAATTTCATTTCGATTGGTTTAGGCCGCTAGGGGTTCATATATCGAGGAATTTTTTACGACCACTATGAATAAAGTTTTTTTAAGTCCTCCGCGAAGAATCCCTCCTCTTAGGCATAAAGGTTTTTTGCATGCTTTTCATATTTAAATAAGCGAAACCAAACTCACTAGAATAATCCTTCCACGAAAGGATGTAGTCAACGTCATAACCACTAATGCATTATACTTATCGTTGCACAGCTCCATGAATTTATACAGTACTGTTGCAAATTGATTTTAATGTGAACAGTTAGTCTATAGGTTAGCGTGCACCAATCTATTTAAGTACATTGAGTACCGTAAAAGATTTTTTGTGCTGGTATGGTTGAATTTAATTCCAAACAGCTGCTAGAGTTACACTTCTTTACAGCTTCAGTAGCTACCAAAAACTTCTATAAAATGTATGAAGCAAACATTACTACCACATAACTGCAGAGGATGCAAATCTAGTGACTTTTGGAGTTTTGTGAGTTTAATGAGGTTTAAGAAGTATATTTAACTTAATAAAACAGGTAGATAGACAAAGAAGGGATAACAGATAATTTAAGTAATTTAAAAAGTGAAATCTTTTAAGTAGAAATCTGGAATTTGAATGAATTTATTATAGCTGTTAACCAGATGGTAAGACAACATTTTTCGGGAAAAAAAAGTCGCCTGCATGAGAATCTGGTCTTTATATGTCCTATTTGATCCCTGACAAGATGTAAATAACCCATGAATTATGACTTGGGAAATAACATGTTTCATAAATAGTAGATTACAGTAAAATAGAGAAAATGCAAGTAAATATTTCATACACTTCATTTTAAAAGTTCACTTCCTTTTAAAACATTTTATCTTTTGATTCGCAAATCACGAATTCTGGTTATAAATTCTAACTCTTTGAAGACCGTCGCACTCCTACGTTGAAAATCAGTTACGCTTGGTTTGGTAACTTTTTAATACTTTTACTCGAACCTCCGCCGGAATTTTCCATACAAGGAAGTCATGTGGTGTCCATATCAGATTTTTTTTTAAGGTATTAGCTGGTTTTAGCTATAATCGGCTTACTGAACTTATTTGGTTTGGCGATTTTACTTTATTTATTTTGGATTTTACATTTATTTATTTATTTATTTTAGTTTTTACCTTCAAATGCAGACCACGATTTATATAATTTAAAACATTTTACTGAAAACTGATATTTCAAAATGCAATAATAATAGCAAGAATAAAAGTAAGTACCACCGTATTGTCGTAACCACCTTAGTAAAATTCGTAAACATTTTCAGAAAACGCCAAAAACTGGCAACCATTGCGCATAAACATTCTTCAGGTAACCATGCTCATATAAGTCTTTAAGTTAAACAGCGGTGCCATTTTCGTGAGCATTCTTTTCGTTGCATTCCAACGATTTCTATATACATATCGAGATATTTTTGCCTTCAGTTCTATTTTTAAATATCTTTTGCTGAATTACCAGTAATGCAAGAAACTGTGTTAAAATTGGTGCAGAAGCGTAGTATTTTGTCGCAAAATCACTGAGCGAATAGCGATGAAATGCGGTAGATAGCCGTTGCGCAATGCAAAGTGCCTGCAATTCTCAGATATTTTTAAAGCATAAACTGTTTGCTATGAACACGGGGAGAACAGCGGTAAAAAAATTAAAAAAATATTTCGATGAAAATATGTTAATTTTTTAAGGTCTTCATTTAATAATTTAAATTCGTATTTTAAATTTCAGTTTTTTTTTTTTTTTTTTTTTTTTTTTTTTTTTTTTTTTTTTTTTTTTTCTTTTGATAAGTCGATAATGTTTGTCGACTTATGATAAATACCGACAGTTTGGTAATGTTTTTAAAAACTCTTCAAAGATCGCCAACTTGCATCCGAAAAACAATTTTTACCTTATTTATAAAAAACTGCCAAATTTCGCCAGGGTGCGGCTGGTTTCGCCAACTGTCTTAGAAAATGGTACTTTTACGCTCTTGAAATAATAATATGTTGTAAAGGCCAAAAAATCATAATTGATGTGCGAAACAAATCATAATTAATTGAGTGTAATTACACTAGTTATT